TGGGTGCTAGTAATGAATTGAATGATAATATGCTGGTGAATCATATTTCTCGGTCAACTTATAGTTCGTTTAGTTTTGATCAGCGATTACTGGGTGACATAGAAGCGGGAAAACACAACCCTTCACTGGAGACTATCTTTGAGTCGTATAACACAGTATCCTATTGTAATTTCATGCAGATATAATTATTTACGACAGAACATCCAGCCTCAAAGAAATATGAGAGGTAGTGGTTTAAGTCTGACAGATATCAGTATACTAACAATACTATCAGTGAGGTAAACAGGGTAGAATCCTACAAACGAACAAGGAGAGCGTAGCTGTGATATCTGTTTCTCTTGTTGTGTAAAACTCGTGTATCAAAAGCAAATGACCAGTAAGAAGAAAAGTGAATCCCATTCTCAGGTTCCTCTACATCGTCTGGACATACAGAAGATGAGCAGTGATCTGAAACATCTGCAATTGCAACAGTGAGAGATAGATGTTCAAATAAACCAGAGTACAATTCATCAGTGTATTCACAAGATTCTATTTAAATTATGTCAGAAAATATTTTCAAATATCATGCTAGCAGGTGTCTTCACGTTACATTTTTCAGTGACAAAATATGTTTGTACCTGATTCATTTATCCAGCCTGTTCATAGTTTACAAGAATCATTATGAAATATTTAGTGTCGCTGCAAAAGTTAGTCTATCAATGACTACTTCTCTGTCTATCTGGAAAATTGTTACGAATTCTGTAAACTACTAAGGAACTTTCCGGTTATTTTTTGTTAATGGCCTCAACTTTTCATTTTCCATAGAAAAAATAGACGGTTTCGGGGTTTAAGAGTTGCTGTGGTATTTTATGGTTACGCCATTTACTTCTGGTTAAATATCGAGATTTAAGGAGATGATCTCTTAGCATCTAAAGTCAGCTATTCATAAATTGCAAATGAAAAGAAACTTAACTGGTGAAGTTAAATTTGAGGTATACCTCATGAACAGGTGAATTAGAAAATAAGACCAAAGTAGGCGTAATCTTATATGACCTTGTAGCGGTTTATTTTGCATCAGTCAAAGGTTTATGCAGCTATGATTATGGTCATGCATACCTTTTGAGCGTGGCTGAAAAAATCTTTCAGTTTAATCTAAGAGTTACTGTGATGCAAAAGGCCATTTAGGAGGATAACCTAGAAAATGAAGCTAAAGTAAAATATATGTGTAACTTTTTTAATGACTACATAACAGCTAATACTCAAGTCAGGAAAGACTGCTGATGCAAACATTCCTGTGAAGAATAAAAAGCAGGGATTCATATTCAAATCTCATATTGAACTCATTAGATTATATGGTAGAAACTAAAGAGCGAGGAGGGGAAGATGCTCAGACAGAAGTATGACCCTAAACATAGCGAACACCAGAGATTTGTAAAAAATTAAGCCATGCATACTGTTCAAAAACTGGGTATTCTATTACATTCGTACAAAATGAGTCTATGGAGGGAAATGAATATCGTCTAGATTAGATATGTTCGAAAGAAAGAGGTTTTCATTTTGAACCGAAATTATCTAGCTTTAACCCTGTGGTATAGACAACTCCTTCTTGCATTATGAGACTAAAAAGTTATAAGAACTTCAAATTAAAAGCTTGGGGTGGCTGTTCACAAAGACAGCAACTACACAGATCATTAAATAAGGACACCAAATGCAAATTCATCTCTGAGTGTAGAAAGTCAAGTGATTCATCTTAGGTAGGCATGATTGATAGCTTTTTCAAATAACAAAAGAACAGTCTGATTATTTCTTTCTTAGTTATCGAGTAAGTAGGGTTCATTCAGCACGGATATTTCGGAATTTTAGAAATTCACTAGACTGGCATATTCTCGCTGTTAACTGATTTACCAGTCAATTGATTTAATTTATCTTCTGAACTAACAAATTAAATTACGAGGACAGTTTGTGCGGCATTTTATTCATCAAACACTAGAGAAGTTGATTAGTTGGACAAAAAAATGCAACCACGTTAACAATTTAAAATCTCTGAGCTAATGATGTAACCAGCGTCATTTATGATCTGGGAGACGAGTAAATTAATGTAAGATCTATGAAAACTACGATGTTGATTGCGCACTCTTTTGTTACTGACTCAGTTAGGTGGCCACCAAGCTAAAGGCCTCCTTATTCTGAACCTTGTTCTGTACCTTTTTATAATTAAATTAAAATAAGAGTCATGGATAACCAGCTGTCTTTAGTGTAATGAATGGTAGATTATTAGTCTGTATTAATCCTTGTAATATTTATCTCTATGGTGGTCCAGTTTTTCATTGAATGCGATCACTGAAGGAGCTGCTACCACTTGTTTCGACAGCAAGTCCTAGTCATTGTCCACTCCATGAGAGAACTAGTACTGCAGTCGAATATGATTCGGCCGCAGCTTAGCGTGTGTCTGTTATATTGATGTTGGAACCCATTGACTTTGGTCCCCTTACATAGGCCATTGGAAAGCATTTCATTTCCGTAATTAGTAGAAGCTAAACAAATAGTGACAGTTTACTTAATGTGTAGCATTGATAACTCAGTCAACAGAACATATGGGAAAATCAGTAGTGCCAAGTGACCAAACCAACCACATAAAGATGGAGTGGAATCAGAGAGCGTTATGTTTTGATTGGAAATTGAATAGATACAAGTTTAAACTTTTGTGCTACTATTCTTAACCTCATTACTTTTACTGTCGTTGATCCTGCGACAAGGTACTTGCAATTTTAGTAGCTATTATCAGTAAGTCCAAATTGTCTTTTAGGAATGGAAACTATAATAGCATCTATGAGAACTGGAACAATCTGATTTCAGTTTATTCTCATTATCAATCAATTGGTAAAAAGATTAGAGGAGTTAATTTGCGAAGTTCGAAGCAATATTTCATCCACACTAGAAGATTACTGGTTAAAAAGCCCAAAAGTTTGTCACCGAAGGATTGTTTTATAGATAAACGTAATGGTAGGTTTATAGATCACATGGTTAATTTGTTGAACTCATAGGCCTTTAAGAGTTCGTAGTGTATTCAAAATAATCTATACACTATACACGGTTTCGCATAAATACTCCATACGGACAGTAATGAGCACGTCGTTGAAAGGCAGAACTGTATAAACCTCCTATACTCCAGTGGAAGTTTAAAAGTGCAATGTCACAAAATAAGTATCAAGAAAAGCGCCGCAGTGGAGGTGATAAATTCAAAACTAAATCTGATTTGCCGTGAAATTCAAACCACCAACCTATGGTTTGATCACTCGGTACACACTCTTCCCATGCTTTTGAACAAAGTAAGCAAGCTGTGTAAGAACATGCCAAAGTTATCTTCAAAAGTAAATGATCAATTTGTGAGTGTATTGAAAAGTTACACGTAAAAATAGATATGACCCCCAAAACCATTAGAAAAACATTGTTTCCTTCCTTCCTCTTTTTATTACGCAAAAGCTTATACCTGTAAAATGCTGGACACATTTCATGGTTGTCAGCGATAAGCCTTCTTCACTCAACTGTCTGTTAATATTTAAGGCTTCTCATATGATTTCACATTCTCTTCTGAACAATCTGGATGCGATGTTCTTGACAAACTGACTTTATTTCTTAGAGTATAATGTAATGGAAAGGGATAAGAGTATTATCGAAATATATTGGTTAATTCATTAAAACAGTATGGACAATGCAAACATGAATGAAAGCAGCAAACTCGATGGTTCACATCAGTCATTCACAATCAATTAGGAAATACAACTTACCGAGATTATGAATTTCCAACGTTTTATTCCACTCACAGGATAAGTAATACATCATCACTGTCATGTATCTCACTTTGTAGAAAATCCAAAGAATTCTATTCTAAAATCTCTTTTTTTGTTACTGAGGTAATCCAATTGTACGTTAACGTAATGAGTGTCAAATCAGATGGTTGGTCAGTTTGTCGATTGGCTGATTGGTTAAACAGTATTTTTTTATCTTCAACAATTCTCACTTTTGGCGCAAGCAATTTTGACGAACTCTGTAAATACTAATAATTACAGCTTGCAAAACTATCTTTTTATACATCAGGTCCAATGATGTGTTATGTACTGTCAGTCACAAAAATTAACAAATAAGGATAAGAAGTAGTAAAAGTGAATATGATGATAATTCCTCTTAATCTTATTTGATTTCGCAAAATTTTACAGGGTGGGGAGTGGAGAGGGATATGCGTTACTCTTGAAACAGCTATTCTGTACACAAGGTAGAGTAACAACAGCAGTAGTAGTAGTGGTAGTGATTATACAGCTAGTAGTGGATAGCAAAAGAAACCTCGATGTGATAGTAACAACAAAAACAAACCAATGCCGACAACATAAACACAATGAAGGGGACATTCCGTTATATTAAATAGTCAGTCATCTAACTTTAAATGCTTATTGGCTGAGATTGATGTGTTAAGGTCACCTTTCAGTGATTGGACCAGAGGATGAACAAACTTCAACCAATCACTGTAAGAAAAAGTGACAAGCCCGCTGTCAATCAGCCCCAATTTTGTGTAGCGCACCAACTATTTGTTTGTGCGTATAGAGGATAAAGGAAAATATTTGTACAACCGAATGGGTGAACTAAAAAAGGATTGGTAGACTGATTTGTTTACGTCAAAAAGTGATGAAATATTGTCATCAAAGAAAATTTTTTGTGAATAGGAGGGAGGGTTAGTAATTTTTAGCCAAATGAAAACAAGTAGGCTGGATATTTGTTCATTTTAGTGTTGCCAATTTGTTTGTTCAAAACGAATGGTGAAAAGCAAAGAGAAAGGAAACGTACTTGTACACCCTAAACTATGAAGACATAAAATTATAAGCATGCCTTAAATAATTCTCCAGAAGTTGTAGAAAGCGTATGAGAGGTTCGTGGAGTAATAGACAAAGTGAGAATACTCTTTTACATCATCACTTGTAAGAGATGACATTTCTCCGTGTAGTGATTTATCTATTTCTAAAGAAGAGATGCCCTTCAGAGACAAACATACACTTGTGTGTATATACCCACACGCTAAAGAAATGTGAGCGATTAAGCCTTCTGTTTCTTCTTCTTACCATTTATGAAATTTATTACACGTAAAGGTGAAGTATACGGTAAATGTAGCACTGAAATAGGATTGTACTAAGTGGTTGTCGTATTTTTGAATATGAAAGAATAGGCCTGATGACAGTGTGTGGTCATACTACTCTCTAAAAATAAGCAACATATTATTTTAATGTAAATTTTCGTTTGTGCGACCATTTTACAGGCATGATTCGAAGACGGCTGTTGCGTTATTGAAGTCATATATTTGGTCGCTTGAAAGCCAACATGGAAAGCAAAAATACATGTTTTCTACACCTCGTTGGACTATGATAACGATAGTAATGCTTCCAGAGATAGGTAGGTATCATTCAGTTACTTTCCGACCCAAAAAAAATATTTTGTAGATTACTTCCGAATCAATCTATATAACTTTGGTTGGCAAGCTGACCAGTGTATACAAGAAGGAATGGAACTTATTTTGTGAGGAGTTTTGAACAAGAATTCTTTAGTTTGTTGACTCTCGCTAGTGTTTCAAATATTGTTACTAATAAATGGTTCAGATACATGTTTGACGTCATTTTTTCAATGACTACTCACTTGGTCTGTGTTTTTCTGAGCTGAAATGCATCCACGTAACTCGAAAACACTTGATGAAAGCTTACGTGAAAGCATTTGGAAGTGTAGTCAACAATGTGATAATAAGTAAACACAAGTGAGCATACGCAAATGCGTTACGTGGTGAAATGACTGGTGTATACTTAAAATACTATACGATTCTAGTCAGTTATAGTAAGTCATTTGTAGATTTTGGATTCGATGTTAGTTCAAACAATTTTATCATTATATGACTGTCTTTTTTCTAACATCTTCAATGATAAAATTGATCGTCCACCTTGAAACTTCAAAAGACTCATTAAAACGGCTAATTATGATCTATGCGTTCACTTCCCTGACGGTGTGTCACGTCATTTAGTTTCAGAAATCAGCTGAGCAACTTCCGAACCGCATGGTAGTATGTTTGAACACTTCACATATCTAAATTCTGTTGCTCGACTATCATGGATCCCCTATAGTCTTTGATGTTACAGCTTGTGAGTCTCCGTAACTTAGTTAAATTACTGATGGAGATTGACTAAGTATAGCATCAGAGACTATGCTACACACGTCGTACAACGAACGGCTATCTTGACTCAGTGGCTTAGTGGATGACTGTTTGACGTTAGAAGCGACTGGTACTAGGTTCGAATCTAGATGAGAAAAAAATTACCCATCCAGTTAATGAGTCCCAAATCGAACAAAACGCGCTTCCTGGATTCCACTGCTAACCAATATCTACGATTAATTTCACGGATTCACTCTGTTGAACCAAGAAACTTGGATTCTATCAAAGCATTCTAGGAACCCAGATTATGTCATATGGTTTGATTAAAGACCAGCCGGTCACTCCATCACATAAGTTCACTTCGATTCCCATTGAGACTTGCAGACCAGGTTAGATAACCAGCATAATGACGTGTGGACAGATCCCTGCTTCTAAAAAATGAAATGGAAGCCAGTAAGGATACTTGGACTGATTTCATCATATAATTTTGCTACAATGTGTACCAGTCAACTTTGAAGAATGAAGGAAAAGGAGAATACGATATGACTTGCACTAAATAAATTCATTTATTTACTGAATTAAGTGGCCTTGAGTGGTAGCAGACGGATATTTACCATGGTTGTGTTGCTCTTAGTTTTACTTTGCTAGATTCTGTTCAGCGTAGAGTTTGAAATGAAGTCCATTAACTAACAGAGTCACGCCGTCTGTACAGTAGGTGGACAATGTCCGCATGTATGCGTGTGATTTCCGAATCTGTATTGATTTAGATACTGGAAGTGAAGTACAGCTTAACTTCCGCTTCTTTCGAATTGTTGTTTTATTTACTTGGTAGACGGTAATTGTTTAAGTAATAAATGGGTTTCATAAACGTTTTCCGAACAGTATCTTGGTAAATTCAGGAGAATAAGGTATTTAAGCGGATTAGTTTTCTCCGCCTACCACTGCCCATTCAATCGTACATGGTATCTGCCTGTAATGGGATAGATATCTAAATTGCAGTTTCCCCCCCCCCCCCCATTGGATTAATTTAGTACTCTGGCAAGAAAACGGAGTAATATGCTGTGAAAAATACATTAAAGTTGGTCAACAGCTGAATTCTGAATCAGACCAAAGATTTTCATCAACTGATTAAAGGAACCATTTTATTATCTAAGCGGATAGCCATACGAAAGGCATGGCTAATGCTTATACAGATAAACATGATAATCATTGATAACTGAATTCTACCAATTAACTATTATTTTTGAAAATATTATTCTGAAAAGTGAATGTTGCTTAATCATTGTTGATTTTTTATCTGAAAGGATTGGTATTTTTCTTCGCTTTTATTTTACAAAAGTATCAAATGATGAAAAATACATTATTGCTATCATTATTATTATTGTACTAATCATGTTTCTGATCTAAGCGATTAGTGAAACATGAAAAGATGTATGGTTGATCTGAACACTCTCCCCGCCATGAATGGTGTTTTTACTGCGAACATACATCAGCTATACACTTATCGATAGTCAGAGACAATTGGACAGTATTTTAGGGCTTATCTGATGTTTTAGAGTAATGTGCGTCTAAAAATCCTAATAGTTAAATGTTAGTCATGGAATCATGAGTTAAAACCCAGTTTGGCTTCATTGATAGTCTAGTAGAATCATCCACCGACACTTACATAACTGGCAGTACCTTACATGGCAGTAAACAGATATTTGTGAATTAATTGAGTAGCCTTATACCCGTTAGCAGCTTTAGGATTACACTAGAGAGTGTCAATAAGACTTCTAAGTGCTTTGATTAACAACACCGAAAAATAATGATCCACTGTAATAAACTTATTCAAATTTAAAATTTATGCAACCTATCATATCATTGCCCACTCACCATTATGATTATCAACCCCTTTAACTAGTTAACTAGAGTGATACAGTAAAAAATTTTACGACTAAAATAATCCAACAAATACAGTGTAAACATTCTAATCTCTACACGACTTAACAGAATTACGCTTATTTTACAATCACGTTGGTGGCTAGCTGTCGAACCTAAGACGCAGGTTTCATCCTGTTTGGGACTCTTCAGCTGGATGTACCTGCATCCCCATGAGTGCTGTTGTCCCCACTGAGACTCGAACCCAATACCAGTCACTTCAAACGGCAAAGCGTTATCCAGTAGTTACCATTAGAGTAATGCTTATTTAATCTGAGCTACACAGATAGAGTCTTAAAGTATTCATTTCACGTCTAATTTCAACTCAACGTTCAATAAATTTGATTAAAAAAGATAAAAGATAATTCTTTTTTATAGATGAAACGTGAGGCAACCACCAAAACTAAAAAGGACAAGACGCTGTTGGTCGGCATGGTATATAGTCAAAATACTGAGGGGATACTAAAAAGTGGAGCCTATTGATTTGATCGTAAGAATCGGTGGCTGGAGAGCATAGAATGATGATTGCTTTAAAAAGAAACGGTAGTCGTAACTCCGTAACCCAGTGGATGACAACTTGACACTTGAAATGATAGGTACCGAGTGACATCAACAGACACAATAGCAAACACAAGAGTATATTTACAGACAATTTATGTACAATAAGATCACTCGTACTGAGATATAAACACAAACAGTAGGCTTCATAACTATGACAGGTACGTTTACAAAGAGGCTGTTATCATTCTCAATAAGAACGCCTACACACGCCAAAGAATGCACTTTTTATATTTAGCTTCTAGTCTACACGTAACGCAATCGAAATTATCCTTCTTATTGTTCAGTAGCTGTTGGTCAAATCACGCAAGTAAACTGGGATACTGACTTCATACTGAGAATAAAAATGTCCAATTATCCAGAAGAATAGCCTCACTCTGCTGATTCAACACTTCACGGTATTACATAATCCACATTTCATTAATTTACTTCAAGGTTTTCAGTCAGTGTGTGTTTACTATCACTCATTGATAGTTGATCCCTAGCTTTTAACAGTAACAAAATCAAGAGAAATTTTCATCCAAAGTCTTGAGTTGAATTATATCCAGAATTATTTCAGAAAGTGCGAAAGGTAACATAAGGATGCATTGCAGTGTAAACATCTGTCTTTTTCATTTGCAGTTAATAATGGCGATGATCAAAGTGAAGTGTCAAACACTTTTGCCAAAATGATCTGAACAAGAATGCCTCTAAGTTATTAACTGTATACTGACATAGAAAGTATCATTCTATGAAAATAATTCTTGAGTAAATGCAATTAATGCTGTATCAAAGATTTTGGCTTAACAAACGTATACAACTGCATAATTTTCCCTTTTTAAAGGAAGACTGATTTCATTCCACGATGAAGGTAACTGTTAATCCTTCTGGTGTTCTGATGCAGCATACTTATTTACTCATACCACTGAAGAACAGTGCTATTCATTAGCAAAGAAATATATTTCCATTGACTTCATTTTCAAACTATACAGTCATATTTACGATTGGTACAAAGTCAGATCAAAGGGCTAAAAGTTCTTTTCCTGCTCATACAGAGGAGTGTAAATGCATCAAACACCCACAGCACAATCGTGCATGACAGCGCCTTCATCTAGGTTTTCAAACTTAAACGCAGCTCGGATGGGCCGTAAAGGGCAGTTCAAAGATATTCATCCGAGCGAGAATTTGTTAATGGATGTGACAATTAGCTAAGTTTGAACATTTATAACCCCACAAATTTTAATTGTTAACTACCAACTAGATTTTTTAAGAAAAATTCGAATACAAATCATGGAGTTCTACTTCTTTTGTATAGATTTATAGCTGCAACAACCTTCTGCTCCTCAGCATTAAGCTTAAGAGGTTGGAAAACAAACCATGATGCAGGTTAGCTAGATTTTATTTTCAGCCACCTCAACTGATATTCTTCTTGTTTTGTAATTGATAAGATACTCACTTTTTTAATCTACTAATGTACTCAGTCATTCTAAAATATTATTATTAGTCTTACTTTTCAGCTAGTTTACCTCTTCTTAAGGCAAGGTACGTTAGGAATGAGTCTCCTTGCAATCATCAGTACAGAATGAATTTCAAAGATCCACCAGTTTGACATAATCCTAGCTATCTGGCTATTTTACTGATTTCACAAGTTGATCAATGCTAGATTATTTAAAAGCGATAAGAATAGTATCATTTTAGAGTTTATGATTCACTTATTTAGTTGTTATTCTGTGACGCATCTTTTACATGTTGTGGTTGATCTAATTATGCATATGATGGGCCTAAATATACAACCCCATGACTTTTTAAATTTGATCGTAATATCATCTGATCAAATAGTAATCTCAAACTTCTTTACTCATTCCTAATTGGGATATTACTGGAATTACATTATTTTTACTTCACATAACAGTCAATAAAGTTAA